TCTGGCTTAGCCAGCAGCGGTCCTTGTGGCTTCCAAAACTAAACATTTCAGAGGTTGCAACTGGTGGTTGAAGTGCCACCTGAAGTCTGGCTGCACTAGCAAGGGTGACTTGAATAACAATTGGCATCTCTAATGAGCAAAGCACGGGCTGAGCCCAGACTGCTCCCCAGCTCGGTGCAGGCAGGACTGCTTTGCCACAAGCTCTCTCATCCCAGCATTCATCCCAAGGGGTCAGGCGCTGGAGCAAGGTAGGAGCTCTTCATACTGTTGCTCTGCTTTCCTTCCAGGCCAAAATCCTTGTGCTACTTTAGCCTTAGCATGAGTACAGAGCAGTGGTTGCTGCTGTTGAGCTCTGGTCCCTTCTGGAGGGAGGGATTGCTTCTGCCCAGGTAACAACTTTGTCTTACAGGTGAGCAAACAGGTCAGCTCTCTCCTGGACCATATATGCCCTCAGCAGGGCTCTGATTTGGATTCTAAATTTATGTTCTTGTTTTCTGGAGAGGTGGATAACATGGTGCTTTTACTTTTTCCCTTCCATAACAGGAGGGCTTAGATGGAATTAGATCCACCTGGAGACAAGCAGCTGCCTTGTTTTGTACAAGTTGGAGGCTGAGGAGCCATTTCTCCTCTCTCCCACACTGACCTTTTGTTTTTGTGTAAGAAGCTGTACGTGGGTTGCAAGCCTAAATATCCCTTTCTCTCAGACCCTGCCACTTGCCATGAGCTGTACTCCTAGGAGTGATTCCAAGACAAACACGTTAAGTGCCTTAAAGAGGGTTCCTCTGGCTTGAGCTGGGGTGGAGGAGAGTGGGTGCAGATCACGGCCTTTTCTGCTGCTGGAGCTATCTGAAATGCTGCTGACTCGAGCTGCATAGTGCCTTAGCCCAGGGATAGATCTGGGCAAAGCTGGACTGCCCCAGAGCACCACAGGGGCAGAGCTGGAGGTTGCACAGCAAGGCCAACAGAAGAGGAATCTGGCCACAAATACAGTGGGTACTGCAACGACTGAATAGGCCAGAAGTGGCTTAAGCATGGTCAACAGCATCTGAGTAGGAAGACCAAAGTGAAAGCTTCTCATTGCCACTGTAGTAAACCTTGCTCCAAAAACACAAGCGTGTGCTGAGAGGGGCCTTGTGCCAGAGCAGCAGTTCAGGCTAGGACCTGCTCCTCAGCTGCCTGTAAGGGTCTTCCCACCGCCTGCCTGCCAGAGCAGGAGCTCTCAGACGGAGCAAGGGAAGGGCCTCGCATCCCCACACGTGGCTGAAATTGCCCAGACCCTATTTGAACCAGTTCCTGACTTGCAGTAACAAAACATCCAGCTAAAGGACAGAGGAACCACCCAGCCTCAGCGCACCAAGCACAGCACAGGGACAGCCTGTGATCATAAGGGGACCAGCTATAAGAACTGCACCCGATTAAGAAGAGACGCCAATCAGGCTACATACCATGGAACAGGAGCTGAGCTGCAGGCTGGAACAGACAGCAAACCAAGGAGCTGACATATGACCTTCCTCCTTCAGCACTGCAGCTCCTGTGGGTGCTCCTTATATTGCCTGGTGAGGTTGTCTCTGCACCTGGGGGTACTGCAGCCCACCTGAGGGCAATTGCTGGTGAGCAAACCTCAGCGAGGTTCAGCTGGGAGACCCTGGGTCGAAACAGAGCGTGTTCTCCCCCTGACACCACAGCCTCCAGCAGCAGGCTGCCAGGTGCCTGCAGCGCAGCTTCAGCAGCACTACGGTGAACTTCCCTCATCGGCAAAGGTGGTGTCAGAGGGCGAAGCTGAGGGCCTCAGAGGCTATCTCCCCTGGCCCCGTGATGTGGGGTGTTGCTGGCAGGCTGGCGTGATTCCAGTTGCTCCCGGGTGATTACATGTTGCCAGGGCTGAGGCAGTAGTTGTCTGCTGAGGAAAGGCCAAGCTGAGGACCTCTGGGAAGGCTCAATGTGTTTTTCTACCTCTTTCTCTCCCTTTCCCATCGCTGTGCGTGACTTCTTGTCAATTGTTTCATGTTCTGGAGCCAGATCCCAGCAAGCAGCTGGCAGTGTTGTGCTGCCCCAGATGTGGCCCTGTGAGTGAGAAGTGTAGGAAGGAGTAGCATGGTGTTTTGCCTGGCTCAGAGGCAGCATCCCACCATTGTGTCCTCCCTCCTGGAGCTCACCATACCTGCTGGTAGCGCAGGCTGGCTGGGCTGTGATCCCGTGAACCTGAGCTCTCTTGACCAGGGGGTGAGGAGCACTGGCCTCTCTGGCTTGAGCTCACGGCAGTTCCCCGGCCCTGTTCGTGAGCTCCAGCAGCTCACTTGCCTCTCCACAATCCTAAAAGGTCTGTCCTTCAACACCAACATCTGCAGGCTTCAGCAAAGTAACCCTTGCTGTTCGGAGGACTCTGCTCCTTAACACTTTTCTTCCTGAGGCCCGCTGAATGCAGTTGCTGTAACAGCCCTGGCAGGGAGCGGAGCTGGAGTGCTGCTGGCTCTGGTGGCATGGACTTGCTCTCCCATTGTGAAACTGAGCTCTAGGGTAAAAAATGAGGGGAAGGGCATCGATCTGGCAGTTGCTGCTGGGTGAAGGGCTAGCTTGTCCCTGGAGTTGGCCTGCTGTGTCCACGGAGTGGCCTTGCCAGCTGGTGTTAATGCCAAGTGCTTCTCGACGCCTCCAACACTGATCTCCTTTCCTGTTGCTCTGTGGCCCCTACAGCTTTGGAGTGACGAGGTGGAAAAAGTAAGTACCCAGCTGAAATTGTGCTCGTAACCTTCTGGGCGTGCTGGTGGCGTCGGGGGGTGGGGGTGCTGCGTACGCCCTCCTGCTCGTGTGCCTGCACACAGGCAGGGGAGCAGCAGTGGGGTGCTGCTGCCGTCAGCCCCGGTCCTGATCCTGCAGCTGAACAGTTCAGCGCGACTCTGACGGCGGCTTGGGAAGAGCCTGCCTGTGGGCCAGCTGGCTGTACCTCGGTGCGAGAGCCTGCCTAGGCAAACCAGGCGTGCGTTCGTGTGTGTGTGATGAAAGACAACTCCGAGAGCCCTGCGCTGGCGGTGCGGGAGCAGAGGTGATGTGCTGTGAAGTGATTCAGCTCTGCTCCTGCGGCAAAGGCCCTGCCTGCTCCAGTTTTGCATGTGCCCTGCGTTAGCCTCTAGTAGCCCCTTGCCTGCTTGTCCTGGGGTCCGAGCAGGAGCTCTGAGCAGAGCTGAAGCAGGGACAGAGGGTTTCCCTGTGAACAGCCTTGGCTGCTGGAGGGAACAGCTCTGGCAGGAGGGCAGAGCAGTAGGTTTGGAGCCTGTCGTGGAGTTGACTCACTCTGGGTGAGCTGCACTTACCCTGCTGAGTGGATCCATGGAGGCAGTGCCCCAGATCTTGTTTATTTTCTGGGTTCCCCAAGGGGGGGTGTGACTCGTCCATAAAGATGGATGGAGGGCTGTTGGTGGACAAGAGAGCAGGTGAGCTCTGTGTGGAGCTCCAGCATGGTGTAGAGCTTCCAGAGACACTTTCTGGGATCCCATTGCCTTTCATACCTCACACACCCCCAGCAGACGTTAGCCTGCAGCCTGAACCACAAGGTGGTAGTGGCACGTTCCTGCATGCGGTGCATGATAGCAACCTGTTACTGCCTTGCTCTAAAAGCAGCATCAGAGCAGACTGGCTGTGTTTGAACCAGCTCTTCCTGTACTTTTAATCCTTCAGTCCGTCAGACAAATAAGCTGACTGCAGTCAGCTATAAGCATGCAAGACTGTGTTCCTCTACCCTCCATCTTTGGTCTATCCTGCCTGGACAGACCAAGGTATGTCAGTAAACTTCAAAGTTCTCTGTGTCTTGGAGAAGCACAAGACTGGAAGGGACCCCCCAGGTCACAGTCCGGTGCTGGCTTTATGGAGAGCTTGCTTTTCTCCAGCAAGGAGAGGCAGCAGGTCAAATCCCAGGCGGTGCCAAAAGGAGCTGGATCTGCCTGTCACAAGCTTCAAGTAGCGCTGCTGCTACTGGAGTCCCTGCTCAGCTCACTGGAGCAAGAGTCTCTTGGTGCTAAGGCATTGCCCTGGTGTTTTCTGTTACATTTCCCCTTGCCCTGCTCAGCTCACTGGAGCAAGAATCTCTTGGTGCTAAGGCATCGCCCTGGTGTTTTCTGTTACATTTCCCCTTCTCCTTTAAATAATCCCTTTCATACAGAGGATGCAAGAAAATAGATCAGTTGTAGCTTAAAATAGACAAATCTGATTAAATAACAGTCAAAGCATTTCTTTGTTCTAGCTTAGCTGCACAACTCTGCTGGTAACGCCGTTACCAGATGAGAGGCGTAACGCCACAACAGCTCCTCCAGCTTGCCCTGCTGAGGAGTCTGGGTCTCCCTGGGGTCACCCTGCTTAGAAACACCAGCAAAGTGGCCTCTGCTCTGAGACCACCAGCCTGTCTGGATTAGCTCACTGGGGTCAGTTCCAGACAAGTCGCTCCTGCGCCAGAATGATCCGGGCCTTCCCAAAGCAGCAGAAGGAGCTCTGTCGCAGAACTGGTGCCGTGCAGGAGCCACTTAGCCACGTCCTAAGAGGGAACTGGCCTGTTCCCCTTGGTGTTAAGGAATAATGCATGCTAAAGAGAATGAAAGTGCCTGTTTGTCACCCCTTTCCCTCTGGCAGCAGGGAGCGGAGAGCAGGCACCAGAGCAGCCGACTGCTCCGGTGCTTCCCTTCACAAGGACCCACCTGGGTGTTCTGGGACTGCAAAACTGCGTGTTGGCTGGGGAGAGAGAGAGATGGTCGATCTGGTTGGTAAATAGGCTCTCCAGTATGCCTTTGAATTCCCAGTGTCTGCTGCGTAGCTGCCTTCTGTTAACCATTGTTTAATTCCTCCTAGCTCAAAGTAAATAACTAGCTTCAAAGGAGAGCCTCGGGTAGAAGTTGGGTTGCAATGTTCATCTGCGTTGCGGAGAGGTGTAGCTGAGTAACAGCAATTTGGTAAACGCTGCCTGGCCTCAGCCTTTGTTCTCTGCTGATAAAAAGGATGCTGGCAAAAGTTGCACTTCTGGAGAGAAGCTCAGGGAGGCTGTCACATCGCTATGCCTGTAGGCTTAGAGAGGAGGGGTTAAAAGGACAGGTGCTGGCATAGGACTGGCTTTCCACACACCTCAGGATTAACAAAGCCTCCCCATCTTCATGTCCTAGTCTCGTGGGATTAGGAACTTCCTAGCTTGATGCGTCAGTCTTGAGTGGTCATTCCATGACCTGCAGTGATCCAGCGTTGGATCAAGCAGGAATCGAGCTGACGTACAGCCAGAGGCCTCTGGCCTCCCAGCGCAGGGCATCTTGTGCCTGATGTTCAGTGTCACACAGTGTGGATCCTACCTACAGCAGCACACTTGTCTCTGTGGCAAAAGGGGGGAGTGGGGGTGGAGGAGGTGGGTGTTGCCTCTCCCTGGCAGAGGCAGGACAGGGGCCTTTGCCTTGTGCTGTGTTGAACACCCCGTCCTGTTTTCCAGGCAGAACAAGAGCTGAGGCTCACGCAGACCGAGTTTGATCGTCAGGCAGAGGTGACACGTCTCCTGCTGGAGGGGATCAGCAGCACACATGTGAGTCTTCCGAGGTAACTGGGGGGTGGCAGGGACTACAAGGACTCAGCTCCTTTCTCGAAGAATGCGGAGAGGAGGCTGGAGCCCTGCTTTGGGAGCAGAGGTGGATGGGGTCATAAATCTGGAGGCTACAGCAACCTCCTTGGAAAACCTGGAGAGTGCAAACTAAAAGCATAACAAAGCATGTGCAGGCAGTGCCACTGTGACACCTGCAGTTCTGCAGTCCTCAGAGTGCTTCTGAGCCAGAAAAACCTTGTTCTTCCCTCACCAGAGCTGTGGATGAGCCACATGGGCATGGCTAGCATGCCAGGAGCAGCCTTGTTGCTGAGATCACCCTTGGGCCTGTGCAGCATTCCCAAGCTTAACAAATGAGTGTACTCAAGCCAACCAAGTAACTCTTTTAAATACTGGCCTGCACAAGCCTGCTTCCCGTGGGGGTAGGTAGTAGCTACAGGAAGTGGGTTCCCGTGCCTGGCAGCCAACTCACAGAGCAGCTTATGGTCCTTCTCCCTCCAGGTGAATCATCTTCGCTGTCTCCACGAGTTTGTGGAGTCTCAGACCAACTACTATGCTCAGTGTTACCAATACATGGTGGACCTGCAGAAGCAACTGGGCAGGTGAGAGGAGACTGCTTTTACTGCTCGGAGGGTTACTCCTGGCCACCCCTAGCTCAGGCCTTCTCCTTCCCCAGCCCACATCATAACATTGGGCAGAAGTTTTAAAGCCCCCTCCGAGCTCTGACAGAGCTTCTGAGCTTACAGAATGGTGACCAATCCTGGTGGTAGTTCGTTTAGAGCAGGCTTTGCCATTTGGATTCATCTGGGTTTTATACGTTTATCTCAAAGCACAATGGCCATGAGAGTTCAAACATTCTTCCTCTAAATTAGTTGAATCGCATGGGAGACAAATTCCTGTTGCCAAGCAGCAAGCCTGAGCGTGCTCAGCTGCAGCAGTAACCGACTCGGTGCTGCTGGCTGCACATCCCGGGGGCGCAGCAGGGCTGGGCTGTCTGTTAACCTGTCACACCAGTGCAGCGGCCTGACCCAGGAAGGGCTGTTGCCTCTGCGCCATCACTCACTACTCCTGTTCCATTCTTTTCCATGCTGGCAGCTCCAAAGGAGAAATGTAAGTAGGATGTTGCACGCGACTAACTCTAAGAGCTCCCCACCTCAGCCAAACTCTGGTGTCTCTGTGGACTCGCTACAGAGGCCAGCAAGGGCCAGAGCTGCACTCCCTTAGTGCAGAGAGGCGTATCCTACAGATAAACGAGACCGAGCTCCATTCCTGCCTCCGTCTAGAGAGCCCAGAATGCCTGGGAGCCTCTAGGTGTGGCCTCCAGTTTAACAGTGACTGTCCCTTTAGCAGACTAAATGGATAACACAGACCACATGAGAGCAGGGCAAGGACACAGTACAATGGACCAGCAAAACAGCTGCAGAGCCAAGAATAGCACCTGCCCAGACCCTCCTCTAGTGCCACGCTTGCATCTCGTGCTCCGAAAGTTAGGTGCTGCTCCTGTAACAGGGCAGTGCAAGAAAAATAAGCAGACAAATATCACCTGTTGCATGGTTGCAGCAGCTGAGAACCGAGGGCATTTCCCTACTGGAAGGGTGGTGTAGAACACTTAGGCATCATCTCTGCAGTGTAACTACTGAAAGGAAGAGCTCTTTCTTGGTTCCTCACATTAGAGCCTTACTGAACTCCGCTTTTTTCTCCTGTGTAAGATTTTCAGGCACATTTGTAGGCAACGCAGAATCCACATCGCCCCCAGCTGCTACCTCTCCTCCAGCTGTTGCTGCTGCCTCTCTCCCTGCTGTGCCTACTATTCCAGTTGTGCCCACGATTGTTGGGGTGCCCAGCACCGTGGCAGAGAGCGTACTGAACCCAAATGAAGTCAAGCCTCCTGCCAGCGGGACACGGAAGGCCAGAGTCCTCTATGATTACGAAGCAGCTGACAGCACTGAGCTGGCACTTCTTGCAGATGAGGTTGGTAGCTCTCCTTTGCGTTGAATTTTGTGGTGACTGCCTAGCAGCCCACTGCATGCTCAGCAAGGTCTTGGTTACTTTTCCTGCCCCTAAAAACCCAGTTTTACAGAACTGCTGGGTCTTTTGCTTGACTCCAGTATCCACTGAGTTGCAGTGAGCTTGTGCTCGTGGCCATTTGCTATTTAAGAATATCACCCCCAATAACTTTTCTATTCCTGTTGGAGCTGAGCTGTACCCAGCTAACAAAATACCCCAGTACTTGGTATCTTCATGGTGCCCCTCAAATACAGCGACCTTAGCTGAGAGCAATGGCATAAGCTACTGGCTGGAGGCTTGGTCTAACCATGCGGGGAAAAAAAGGAAATCCAGCAAGCTGCAAACTCTTTTGTTGACGAGACTGAACTTGTGTATTCAGAGAGGATGACGTAGCAATATCATGCCACCCCGTATGCAAAAATACCTGAAGTCATTTTGGAGAATGCAAAGGCAACAGGGACATCATTGGGCAGGTTTCTGTGGATCTTCTGTTGAAACCGCAGGTCACTCCCAGGAAATGCACAGGAAGTTCCGTCTGAACATGAGGAAGAACTTCTTCCCTCTGAGGGTGATGGAGCACTGGAACAGGCTGCCCAGGGAGGTTGTGGAGTCTCCTTCTCTGGAGATATTCAAGACCCGCCTGGACAAGGTCCTGTGCAGCTTGCTGTAGGTGACCCTGCTTCGGCAGGAGGGTTGGACTAGATGACCCACAGAGGTCCCTTCCAAACCCTACTATTCTGTGATTCTGTGATTCTGTGAAAGGGCATGGATGCCTGCTAAATGAACTTGGGGAATTAACTGCCTGTTCTTTCAGTACCCATCTGGCTGAACTTCTTGGCTCTGTTTGCAGGGGAAGGTCCTGCCTAATGCTGTCTTCTCTCCCCAGATGATCACGGTGTACAGCCTGCCAGGCATGGATCCAGACTGGCTCATAGGGGAAAGAGGCAACCAGAAAGGGAAAGTTCCTGTCACTTACTTGGAACTGTTAAGTTAAACGTTTCCAGGAAGAAGAATGTACAAGCAGAATGCACCCCTCATCTCCTGGCACTTCTAATGCGGATTTCTTCATCCGAGACCATTGCTCTCTCCAGGGCTGACACTCCATTGCTAATACGGGAATTGTGGGAAAGAAGTGGTAAAACTGTTACAGCAAGGTTTTGGGAAAGGGCTGATGGCACCCAAGGCTGAACTCGTTAACTACCAGTGCAGCCTGCTTTGAGGTTAGTCTTGATGGCGCAAGATTCCCCGATTACTTTTTCTACCCTCCTCTAGCCCTGTTTATCGCAGGGGCTTTCCCGGGGCCAGCAAGCTGTCTCCCTCGGCAGCTGCTCACAGAGTTTAAGCTGCACTTCCCTCCTGTCCGCTGTGGGTCAGTGCCCGTCTGCCCCTCCTGTCCTCGCTGTTCTTCAGCAGTAGAATTGCCCAAGTCAAACCACCAAGCATTCCCATGGGGAAGGGTCCCACACAACCCCCCTGATGTGTTCTAGCTCTTAAGGCAAGGAAGCTGAATTTAAGAATTAAGAGCCGGTTCAACCCACCCACCTTGCCCACCCGCGGGAGAACAGTAACATGAGGCTCTCCGAGAGCTGTGCTTGCTGTTGTGGTGCCTGATGGCTTCAGCCTAGAGCTGTCCTCTGAAGCTGGAAGGAAATTTCTTTGTGAAGACCAACCTAACAACGTAGGGCCTGTAAGTCGAAAATCAAACCTCGGTGCAAGGGACCATGCATCTTGCTTGCATTTCCTCTGAGAAACTGCTCTTGGACTGCAAAGAGTTTACAAGCCTTTTTACAAGCTTTGCTCCCTGTGTTAATTGTCCAGGCTTTTCTTTCGGTGTGTCTGTCCCAGGCATGTTTTAGCCTGACTTTAATTTCACCCTAGATCACCGATTTCACTACTGCTTCCCCTCCCATCTCAGCAGTGAACAGACTTGGTGCATCCTACTCCCGTCAGGGATGGCCCCCCTTGCTGTTCCCTCCAGCAGTGAGCTGCTCTTGGCCACGCACACACCGAACAACCCAGGCTGCCCCGATGCACGCGGTGGTTGAGCTCAAAGGGAGCGCTCGGTGCATAAGCCTCGTAAGCCTATAACGAGCTTTTTAGCCAGAGCTCACCTGAGGGACTTCCACTGCTGTGTAACCAGTTTTCCACTCAAGCTGGATGGAAGAGAAACTCACCTGCACCAAGCTCCCCGTTCACAGCCTTCCCCTTGGTATGTCAGAACTAACTTTGCTTGTTTATTGATCTTTTGCACTTTCCCCTATGGTATTGTGACCACTCTAATGTAACAGGGCACTGAGCACCTGTGTCTGTAGGGCTCATGGTTTTCAGCACTTATTTGCCAATAAACGAACTGCCTGACCTCTGGCCTCAGCGTCTCTTGCGGGCTCGGGGCTGCTCCGGCTCTCCAGCCGCGTGGCAGGGAGGCAAAGGGGGCAGCTGGGGCGGGAGCTGCGCCGCTCTGCTCTCCCAGCCCTGGAAGCCAGGTGTAAAAGCAAAACAAAGCTAAGAATCCTTCCTGTCCCAGCTGAAACTCCCAACATGCCGTAAGGTTGTTGATGTCTTGCAGTTCCTTTCCCTGATGACACATCTCGGTTGTACTACAGGTTCAGGAACTCGTAAGAAACAGCAGCTCCTCCTTAATCTGAAGCAGAAATAGAGCAGCAGTGGGACTTCAGCTGCTGAGAGACTGCAAATGCTACTCTAGATCTAACAGACTTTTTGTTGTTGTTATGGAAACTGGATCTGCTGCTAACTTAGAATCGTAAAGCCTTCTCCCTAGCACCCAGCTTGGGAAGAACTCCTGGAAAAGCAGCTGTTGAAATGCTCTGTAGGGTAGCAACAGCACTCAGTTTTTCTGCCGTTAAACTCTAATGAAAGAGAATGGCGAAATCACATCATGCCACTGTTTTAGTCTTGTGATTGCTATGATTTCCACTAGCACAGACCTACCCTTCTGTAGATCCACCCCTGCCTGTTTTCCTTCCACCTTCCAGTCTGTCTGCCTTTCCCGCAAGCCAGCGACATCCCTGTTTCCTTGTTACTCCTCTCCCTGGTGCATTAAGGAAAGAGGATGAACAGCCTTAGTAAAAACAGCAGCAGCTTAATGAACCAGAAAATGGTGTCTCTTCCCTCAGAACAGGCAGAAGGAAGTCTGCTCGCGGCAGCAGCGCTCCCTTCCCTCTGCATTAGAAATGAGCGTGTGGAAAATCGAGCGCTGCTTCTGCCTGGCGCTCTGCAGACAGCTGGCACTCCGTGCTGCCGCTCTGCAGATGTCCTGGGGAGCTGCCCTGGGCTGAAGGCTCTTCCACGCCCCTCTGGCTGAGGGGCAGATACAGGTACAGTTCAGGGCTGAAACGCTGCTGTCGAGTGAAGCTACAGCTCTAAAACACAGGCGTGACCAACAGCGTCCACTGTTTTTTGCTGTCAGCACCAAGGACTCCTGCCTAGCACCAGAAACTCTCACTCTAGCGCCTGAGTAAATACTTCAAAGAGCGTATTACTTCCCCCTAAATTCTCATTCTGTCCATTCTTGGTGAACACTACTAAGTGATTAGCACACTGTGTGTAACTTCAAAAGCTGTAACAAAAGGAAAGACACCAACAAGAGCTATCAAGTAACAGTCCTGAGCACTGCTGAACTTGCTTAGATGTACGGAATTCTGGTTTTACTTCCACTCCCCCCAGCCACCCGTCACCGATTTGCAATCTGCTCTGCTGAGTGCTTCACCGTCCCTTTTCCATGTTCGCCCTCATAGTTCCCTGCAGCAGAAGGCATTAACAGTTACAGGTGACCCCATCTAAACAGGATCAGGCTTGGGACTGTCACACCACCTCCTTCCCTGTCCCAGCCGCTCACTCACCAGTGCTTTTGGAAGGTAATCAAGCCCCTCACCCTTCTACTTTCAGAGCACTTTGCTCCAGCCAGTTAGTTCAGATCTCTCCAGAGCTGCCAGGCAAGTAAAACTGGATCAAACAAGTGTGCTAGGATATCACCATGGCTTCAGCTTACAAGGAAAAAACCCAAACTCAAAGCAACATAATCTAATTTTCTCACCTAAGCCTCTTAAAACCATTGAGATTAAAGACATTCTGACTGGTAAAGCAATCAAGTGTCTCTTTAGGAAAGAATTAGTAGGTTACTAGCTCACAGCTACACTGAAATTTGATTTCTTACCTTAGAAAAGTCTGTCTAGATTTCAGGCTTTATTGTAAGCAATAGTCACTGACCTTCTCTTAGTGTCTCCACCACACTGAGCCTCAGAACCTTAAAGAGTTGGCTGATCTACCTGAGAGTGCGAAAGCCGCACGACGCACTTCTCTGCAGCCAGCGTCCGTCTGCCAGCTGGGGCCTGCGCCCTCCCCGGCCGCTGCAACAGGCAGGACCTGCGCAGAGAGTGATGCGTGCGCATGGTCCCGCCACCATGTGCAGAAGAATCACTCCCGAGGAGTATTTTATAGTGATGCTCGTTTAAAACCTCCTACGAGTTCCCCGACATGAGAGGAAGAGAAAGGGAGTGGGTGTGGGGAAGCCGAGGGAATCAACCCTGGACTGTAATCGCTTCAAACGGCACCCGGATCGTCACTCCCACGCCACAACTCGCACCACTGTCAGCTGGGGCTTCAGCCCAGCAGAACTACGCAGCAGATGCAGAGTTGGTGCTGCAGGCTGCTATGTCCAACACCAAACCACGAACCCAGCTGCTGTCTATAAAGGTTTTAATATCCGTATAAATAGGGAACAGTTACAAAAAACTGCAAGACTGGAGCAATGGAATTTTGACTTAAAAACCTTGAGTGAGGCCTTGCTCTTCAGAAACACACACAACACACAGACTGCAGGGTGAAGGGAAGGCGTGAGCACACATACACCATCTCGCCTGGAACCATTCCGTACAAAAATAGCAGTAGAAAGATGGTCTCTGAATTGCTGGCTGATCCCTTGGTTGTGCCTTAGCTGGACTCTGACTGCGAGGGAGAGGCAGACCGCACCTTGTGTTAAGAGCAGAGTTAATGCCCAGCGGAAAGTTTGTCTCCTCTCTCCATCCAGCCACAGCTTCCCCAGCTGAGGTACAAGCTATAAAAATAAAGGTTTTGACTGCTCAGCGCTTGTACCCAGCCGGGATGCTCTAGCAGGCGGAGCGGGCAGGCTGCGCACGTGGGCTGATCGCTCAACAGCCGCTCTCGGCTCTCCTTACATTCACTCTGCCGCTGGGCTGCAAGAGTTCAACGGGATCTCGCTGCTGATGTTACGGCTCGGTTTACAGCACTGCCCACACACCAGGCCTCCCTCCTTTTCCCAGTCCTTGTTACGAGCTCTGCCAAAGGTGATGCCTTCTGCAGTGGACATGAATCATTCTGCTGCAAGTCCTGAAACGGGAGGCAGGGGCAGGACAGGATCTATCTCTGCACGTGCCGGACAAAGGCCTGCACCAGCTGAAACAAAGGCTCCTGCCCCTCGGGACCCAGCTTGGAGGCAGACTTTCCTTGGGAGGGAAGAACCCCGCTGGCAGGTGACGAGGGGCCACCACGGCGGAAGTAACGAGACAGGCTGGAGAGCAGGGTACTCTGAAATTAGAGGCGTGGAACAAGTCAGCTTCTTCAAACACACGCCTCTCCCTGCCCAGCGAAGTGCCGGTGGCACACGGACAAGCAGCAGGACGTACAGCCCGGGATGCCTACGGCTGCTGACTCACGCGGGGAGCCAGCTCTGCTGGGCAGGCAGAGACAAACGACCTCGTCCCACGAGGCATGTCTACACCGAACAGCGAGAAAGGACGGTAGAGGCTGCTTACCAGCTCAGAGCTGAGCTCCTGCTTCATCCGCTGCTTATCACGGGGGTGCACAGCTGGGTCCCTCAAGTACCGAACGGCCTGGGAGATGAGCAGGTAGAAACAGTTTTCCATTGTAAACATAAGCAGAGACCTGTGCAAAGAAACACCCATCAGCAGGAGCCAAAAAGGTCAGCACGCTCTAGTTTCAAGGTCAAATGCTCCTACAAAGACCACACACACGCAGGGTACACACGAGGGAACGCTGTTACCGTCCACATTCTGCTCAAGCAGCAATACCCAAAAGCTATGGTCAGCTGAGCAGAAACTCCTGCTGGCCGTCAGGGAAGTCTGGTTTCAGTGTACTGATAAATAAGCATCAAACAACTCTCTACACTGCATCTTAGGATGGGATGGCTTCATCCACCCTCCCAAAAAATCCCTGCTTGCTTTGGAGAGCTTCTGATGGGCTATCTGAACTCCCTGCATTCAGAGCGAGCAGCTCCGAAGCTACATGGATGCCTGTAAACCTCAGTTCTGGTCTGAGGAGCATTAGGTTCTCTCCTTGGCCGTGACTAAATCAAACAGCTCAAAACTTACTTGAGGGTTTTGGTTCCCTCTTGCATATTCAGCCCTGCAGCCTGAGGGAAAGGTTCCTTCTTCTTATCCAGCTTAAAGGGAAACAAAGACAGGCATTAGAGACAGGAGATACAAAAGAAGAAACACCCCTACTCTTCAAAGCATCAGCTGAGCGAGCACTCTCAGATCACTGCAACTGCTGTGCCCTCCCGCACAGAGAAACGGCCGGTACCTCGCCCAGCATGTTAAGGGCCACGTTGACTGTGGCGAGGAGGGTCCCAAAGGAAGGTGCGACATCCGAATCAAAGGCTGGCGTGGTGAAACTCAACACGAAGAGCACGTTGTACTCAGCAAGGTCCAGTGACTGTGGAGAAACAGGAAGAGGAGTGAGTGACCTCTGAGGCCATGAGTATGCTATTGTCATAGCAACAGGAATACCTAGTCCCTGTATCATGCTAGAAACACAGAGATAATTTCCCAGATCTCAGGTATAAGGATGGAGCAGTAGAGAGCGTTCTGTACAGCACTGCCAACCAGGCTACAGGGCTCTCCTCACATGAATGAGCCTTCCCCAACTCCCAAACCTGCCACCACGCTGCAAGCTAAAGCAATGACTGTTTCCAGACTTCTCAAACGCCTAGGCCTATCGACCTGGAGGCAGAGGAAAAGCAAGTTACCTATCCAAAAGCCAGCAGCAGGACACTTCCAGAATCAAGGATTAAACCCTCCTTTTCTGAACTTGGAGAGCAGCCGACAGGAGGGTAACAAGAGGATGGCTCTTCTGAAGAGTGACATACTGAGGACACGAACCTAGCCAGGCTATCAGTGTGCTCAGCGAGGTTACCCGCGCCCAGCGCTGTGCAGATCACATACAGCCAGGCCTCCCCTTCACATCGATTCCTAAGGGCAAGCCCCTGCACCCTGCCCTCCTGCTCTGTGCAGGACAGCAGGCAGATGTACGGTGAGGTCGGGGTCTCAAGCGGGACAGGCTGTGCCTCACTGCGTACACCCA